CAGACGCACAGAAATAAGAGTTCAAAAACTAAGACAATGGCTAATGTAATCGTAGGGACAAGTCGGGAGCTGAATATTATGTCCCAGAATTTAATTGGAAAGATTGAACCACAACAGAAGATAAATTAAGTACATGAGACTGAACTGGTGAAACAGCATTTTATGACTTTTGTCTGAAATATCACTGATTTTCTTCTAGGTTTTGTTTTCCAGTTTTAAGGATTTTTGTCCTGTCTTGAGCTGCTGATAGATTCATGTACCTACTATTTGAACAGAATCCTAACCAGTTTCCTGGCTTTAAGTTTTAAGTAAAGTTCCTTAGCATTTCTTTGTTAAAGCTAAAACTTCTTTCCTTGAAATTAAAAAAATATTTCAGTGCTCTCTGAAGAATTTTCTTAAATGAACTTTTGAATTGTTCCATATCAAAAAGATCAACATCTTCACCTGGTTCTTTACTCATCTGAAAAACATCCCAAACTTTCTGATGTTGATAAACTTGAGTATCTCGCACAGCAGAATCAAGTGCTGAACCAAAGATTCCTTTCTCTGCCGAAAGTTTATGGTCTGAAGTTCATTATCAGACAAAAAGTTCCAGGCTTTTAGGATTGTCATCATTTCGGTCATGCGGATTTTCAAGATGGTCCTCCTGATAAACTCAGCAACAGTTTCATCCATCTTTTTGGCACTCTTCCTCAACCGCGGTCCCGAGCCAAGGCCAGGACCAACGGCCAATCCGGCGCCTTCGGATGTGCGGCAGCCGCGAAAAAGTAGCTGCAGAGACTTGGGGTCTGGCTTCCTCAAGACTCCCACCACCCTCCGGGGCCCGATCCTGTACCGCCGGGGGCTCTCTTACCGCCCCTCATCTCCAGCCGTCTCGCTCTATGCCCTATATATTTTTCAAGTCACCAGGTTTGGGACTTGAACTACCTAGTCAGTGATATGGGATCCAGTAGCCTTAACCAACATGTCATCTAGATGATCCAATACTTTACATTCTCTAAAGGATATTATACTATCATAAGTACGTTTCCATATTGCTACATAATCTTTTTTTCTTTTTTTACTGTATTTGATATAGGGCACATATGCTCACCAGAGAGAGAGTAAGTGAGAAAGCAAGCTGCCAGGGAACCAGCAGTTAGCATAATGGCTATGTCACTGGACTCCCACGTAGTTGACCGTGGTTCGCGTCCCGGACCCGGTGGCTTAAAACTCATGCCGGGTGCGTGTGCATGCGTGCCCAAGATCCCGAGAGGAGAATGGAGGAGAAGGGATTGTGGCGTGACCATCCCGCCTGGGGGGTGATTTCTCGCTTTCTGTCTCTCTGTCTCTCTCTGTCTGTCTGGTGAGCGCACACGCCCTATACCAAAAACCTCTCCAAAAAAAAAAAGAAAGAAAGAAAGAAAGAAAGCAAGCAAGCAAGCAAGCAAGCTGCCAGTTCTGGAGCTCGAACCATCATTAGTCATGTGGGAGACCAGTAACTTAACCACCACGCCACCTGCCAGCCTCCATAATCTTTTTTTCCTAATTGCCTGAGGGCATGTGTGCCTGCTAGAAAGAGACAGAATGATAGAAGACGAGAGAGTAAGCACCTCCAATGGAGCATGGTCATGCTGTGATCCCTTCTCCATTTCTTCTGTCAGGATTTTGAGCATGCAACACACATGCTTAGCATGTTTTTTTTTTAAAGCTACTGGGCTGGGATTCAAACCTCAGTCAGCCATATGGGATCTGGCTCCTCTTAACTCTTAGGCCATAGGGCCAGCCCTGCTATACAGTCTTTATAATCGTCATATTCTTACGGACTTTACTACTTCTTGGATGGTTCCTTAAAAACAGATTATTCAAGTGAAAGTATTGATTTGAACATTTCTATAGCTCTTAGAACATGCTAACAAATTACTTTCCAATTATTGTTCTACCAACTTACAATGTTACCAACAATGTATAGGAATATTTACTTTACCATAATCACAGTAACACTGAATATCATTCATAATCTTTTTTACATACATGATAGTCTTCCTCATTGTGTACATATGCATACCTTTACAACTTGTAATGCTATTTTAAGAAAAATTTACTAGTGATTATTGTTTTAATTGCCAGATGGTATGTACATTTGTCAGAGATAGAAAAAGGAAGAAAGCATCCCCCAATGGGGTGTGGTCATACCACAATCTCTTCTCCATCTCTCCATCCCACGGAGATTTGGGGCATGCATGCACATGTGCCTGGTGTGTTTTTCAAGCCACTGAAGGTGAGAATTGAATCTTGGTCAACCATGTGGGATCTGCCTCCCTTAACCCATAGGCTATGGAGCCAACCCTACTAGTTCTTTTTTTAAATAAAGAATTATTTTATTTAACTTTACTTATTTATTTATTTATTTTAATTTGACCAGAGAGGGACAGAATGAGAGAGAGAAAGTGAGAAATCAAGCCGCTAGGTCTGGGACTCAAACCACAATTGGCCATGTGGGAGTCCAGCACCCCCAACCACCATGTCACCTGTCGGCCCCCCTACTAGTTCTTTTTATTTTCTTAATTTTGCAAGCAAATCTTTGCTAATTTTCTTATCTAGTGTCTTCATGTTTGCTTTATCATTTTTTATAAGTTGTTCATCAAATAACTTTTATCACTGAATACAAAATAGTATTAGCTTTTTTTAACACTGGAGAGAGTTCAGTTACTCCTTCATTACTACCTTCTATGACCTTAAGTACCACTGAACTAGAAAGGTCCCCTTTAACTCTTGCATCTGTAACTATATTACACATTTAAATATGAGCAGTAGGACTTCAAATCACTGAGTTGATTTTCCCTCAATTTTATACTTTAAAAAAATATATTGCAATTCCTACCTTAAAGAAGTCATTCTTTTTCAGGCTTTCAAGGAAACCAGCCCAGAGTGGAGAGGTAGTTATGAGGGATTTCTTGGAGTCAGAAAAATGTGGGCTACACTTGGAGCATAAAATCTCAAATCCATGAGCCTAGATAAGAAGAATTTTTATTAAGTTATTTTTTTAAAATTGCTGTATAAAGTTGCTTTCTTTCCATTTAGCCACACTGAGAATTAGGTGACTAGATATATAGGCATGTGAACATTTATAACTTTTGAATTTTATGAAAAACATAAATTTCCAAACAAGTTTCTCGGTCTCTGTAAAATACTGAAAAGCATAAAGAAAATAACAGAAAACAAAGACTACTATTCTTTTCAAGGAGATTCTTTTTTTTTGAATACAAAATTGGAAATTTAAACTTATTTTTTGATTATAAGGCTCACAAATGTTTGCTAATAGAAATTATAAATCAATTGAGAATTCCCTCAGCCATAATAAAGGGAATCACTTTACTTAATGAATCCTTAGATTAAACAAGGTAAAATAATTCAAACAGGGAGCTTTCCTGATCACTTTAGAGGAAACTGATCACTCTGTTACCAATTTCTTGGCATTTCCTTTCGTAAGTAATATGTGCACTCAGGCAGACTTATGTCTGTCTGGGTACATATTTTGAGTTGTTGGAAAAGTCATGATGCATTTTTGCATAGAAAAACAGAAGAGAATATGTAATGACTTTTCTGACAACCCAATGTCTTCCTACTCACCCCTTTTTCACTCAATGGTAGCATCCACATTAGTCTACACCTTGCTTTTTATACTTAACCATATACCTTGGAGATCATATCATATGATGCATACAAATTTATCCATCTCATTTCATGGATAGATTATCTTTTTTTGTTGTTTTTCAAATTTGCTATAGGGTATGCACACTCACTAAGGAGAGAGAGGGTGAGAAGGAGAGAGGAGGTAAAATGGCCATGCTACAATCTCTTCTCTTCCATTCTCCTATTGGGATTTTGAACATGCATACACGCCCAGCATGATTTTTAAGCTGCTGGGTTCAGACTCAAACCAATCAATCAGTCATATGAGATCCAGCCACCCTAACCTCCACGCCACCTGCTAGCCCACAGGCCATACTTTTATTTATTTTTTTTTTAGAATTATTTATTTAATTTTATTTATTATCATTATTAATATTTTTAAAATTTGACCAGGGAGAGAGAGAGTGAATGTGAGAAAGCAACCAATAGGTCTGGGACTCAAACCATGGTCAGCCATGTGGGAGTTCAGTGCTTCAACCACCACATCACCTGTCAGCCCCAACCACAATTTATTTTAACTATTTCCCTGCTGATAGACATTTAAGTAGTTCCCAATCTTTTTTTTTTTTTTTGAGAGGTTTTTGCTATAGGGACTGGGCTGCGCTCGCCAGAAAGAGAGACAGAGAGACAGAAAGCGAGAAATCTAACCCCCCAGGGGGGATGGCCACACCACAATCCCTTCTCCTCCATTCTCTCGGGATCTTGGGCCCAGTGTGAGTTTAAGCCACCAGGTCTGGGACTCGAACCGCAGTCAGCTACATGGGAGTCCAGCGACATAGCTGTTACACTAACTGCTGGTCCTCCAATCTTTTACTACCACAAAAAATGCTATTATGAGTATGCTTGTCTTTGTGCACTTATAAAATATGTGGAAGATAAATTTCTAGAAGTAAACATGCTAAGTAGAGTTTGTGCATGTAAAATATTGATGCATATTGCCAAATTGTCCTAAGAGACTGAATCAACGTATATTCCTATCAACAATGCTCAAGAATACCTTTTTCTCTATAATTCTCAGCAATCTAAGTATCAAACGTTTTTTTTTTTGGAGAGGTTTTCGCTATAGGGCATGTGCACTCACCAGAAAGACAGAGAAAGACAGAGAGAGAGAAAGCGAGAAATCACCCCCCTGGGGGGATGGTCACACCGCAATCCCTTCTCCTCCATTCTCCTCTTGGGATCTTGGGCATGCACACACACACGCCTGGCGTGAGTTTAAGCCGCCGGGTCCAGGACTTGAACCGCGGTCGACTATGTGGGAGACCAGCGACATAGCCATTATGCTAACTGCTGGTCCCAGTATCAAACTTTTTGATACTTGCCAATTTAATGGTGAAAATCAGTTATGTAGCTTTAAATTGCATTTCTTTTTTGGTGAACAGGAGTCAATATTTTTTACATATTTAAATTAAAAGTCATTTATATTTCCTTTTTTGTAGACTACCTGTTCATAATTTCTTTGAACACTTTTTTTTTTTAAGAGAGATTTTTTGCTACAGGGTGTGTGTGCTTGCTGGAGAGACAGATAGAGACTGAGGGACAGAAAGTGAGAACTCATGCCACAATCCCCTCCTTTCCTCCTTTCTCCTCTTGGGATTTTGGGCATGCACACACACACACCCAGCATGAGTTTTAAGCCGCCAGGTCTGGAATTTGAACTGTAGTTGACTACACCGGAGTCTAGTGATGTAACCATTACATCCTCTGCTGGCCCTCTGAACACTTTTTAATTAACTGGTTAATATTATCTTTTTCATATTGACTGATATAAACACTTTGTATATTAGAGAAGTCAGATCTTTTTCATTTAGATTACAAATACAGTACACATTTTCCAGGTTTGCTATATTTTTATTTTATCTGTAGATGTTTTCCCTTCCTATGTAGAAATATTTAATTTTTACATAATCAAATTTGTCAATCTATTTTTTTATAGCTCTTGTTTCAAGTCAGGTTTAGAAATACCTTTCCTATTCAGAATGTAAAACGTTCTCCTGAGGCCTAGCAGATGGCATAATGATTACATTTCTGGACTCCCAGGTAGTAGACAGTGGTTCAAGTCCTGGATCCAGTGGCTTAAAACTCACACCAGGTACATCATGTGCATGCGTGCCCAAAATCCTGAGAGTAA